CCAAGGGTCAGATTAATAAGTCCTGGGTCAGGGAAGTCTCTTCCTTCCACAATTTTTCTGGGCCATGCCAATGCCAAAGGAAAGGGCTTATATATGGAAAACTTCTGGGGTATGTAAGGAAGAGTTTCTAGGATATGTGTCAGTGTTGAAAGGGAACTCAGGTTAATACAATTAACCCCCTTATTTTGTATAGGAGTAAACTGAGGCCTAGAGAGGAGGACTGGCTTGTTCAAGATAACATAGATTAGTCGAAGAGGTAGAAATACAGGACTCCAAGTTCATTGCTTGAGGACTTGAGGGCCGGAATTATCATCTCTGATCTGACCCCTAGAAACCAGTGAACTACCCAGAAATGTCCCAGACCCTACCCTTTGCCACCAGCGTGGGAAGCAAAGTCCAGCTCTTGGAGAAAAGGAAGAAGAAAAGGAGGAATTTGGGGCCCCAAGAGCGAGTCAGAGAAGTAGGAGTTGTTCATTGAGAGCCCATCAGTCTGCCGGCCTCCTTCCCCCCCATTCCTGTCCCCAGGCGCTCATTGACCCCTCTCCGCCTGGGAGGCCCTCAACTCCGGGCCAGGTTTTCATGTCGCCTTTATCAGCCCTGAGTGAATGAGTGGTGGCCAGGTTAATCTGGACCCGCCGGGCGTATGTAATGGCCTAAGCAAAATTCTGGTACGGAGCAGGGTCCGTGGAAGTGAAGCGTCTGGGCTAGTGAGGGCCGGGCTGGTGGAGTTGAGTCTAGGGGATCTTTCTGGAGCCCTAGGACCGGTGGCTTTCAGTCTTCAGGGTATTACTGATATTACTTCTGACGCCACGAGTATCTCCAAGCTCCGGGGGCCAATAATCGAATCCAAGGGGCCTGGTTGCCAGCCCCACCCCCAGAGGATAAGGTACTTATTGCTCTAGCTCAAAAATATCCCCACTTCGCGTTCGAAGACCAGGTTTCCTTTTCATAGAGGCTCAGAGAAGTGCTCCATATTCTCGGCATCGAATAGACGCTGCCTCATGGCTCGTGCCACCACCCTTTGGACGTCAGGGCGCACCCTTTCACAGGGGCGTGGACAGCCCCGCTGCCTTTGGCGTGGAGGTGGGGTGGGGCGGGGGGGGGTGTGAAGTGGACGGAAAGAATCGTGTTATCAGAATTTCTGAAGACAGAGAACTCAATTGGTCGTGCGGATGGAAGTTCTTCAGAAAGCTGGCACGTTCAAGCTCTTCAGTGTGAAAATGTACTGCTTGGGGCAATTTTGGGGTCTCAGAGAAAAAGAAGTGCGCTTGGTTTCTCCACCTCCTCACTTTTCACTGTTTCTAGTTTCCGACACCCTCAAGCAATAACACCACGACTCCGAACGATGTTCAGTCCCCCATAATCTCTGCCCCTCCTCCAACAAGTACAAGAGAGCATCCGGTACCCTCAGGCACAAGTCAGAGTCCAGCCCTCCGTAAGCTCAGCCCCACTAAGGTTCGGAGTACCCAGTTCATTCCACGCCCTAGTCTCAAGCCTCTGGCTCCGCTTAGTACTACTGGCTTCCCCTCTCCCCCGCCCACCTCACTCTCGGGGCGGGACCAGAAGAGAGGAGGCCCTTGTGGCACTGAGCCAATGGGAGAGGGCTATGTGACCACACCCCTCAAGGATCCGCCCCCTCTCCATCTGACCTCAGCCTGGACAGTGCAGAGTATAGTCTCGAACCTCCTTCTAACCTGGTAAGGGGAGTGCCTGTCAGTCCGTACCAGCCTAGGCATCCCTCCAGACCGACTGTCTCTGCCGCAGCCACCTCCCCTTCCAGGAACTAGAGGCATTCTTCCTCCTCTTCCTCGTCCTCTCTCCCATTCTCGCATAATTTCAATATGTATCCTGTCTTTCTCCAGTAGCTGACCCTACAGCCCTTCAGAGGTCATCTACAGGTTTCCCTGTTTCCAAGCAGAGACAGGAATTCCCCCCTCCCCCACCGCCTAGTCTCCGGTGTCTCCCTGCTTACCTGAATCTGTCTCCTTCGACACCCAAAGTTCTTACAGCGGTCTGACCGAAATCTCTCCTGCTACATTCACTACTTGCTCTATTCCCCAAGATCTAATCGGTTCACACTCCCCGCATCTTGACACTCCCTAACCTAACCCATTCCCAAGTCTTTCCTACGTAGTATCTCTTCTTTCCACTAGAAAGTGACTGGTGGAGAAATGGTGAAAGGAGAGATATAAGAGGATAGAGGCTAAGCCCTAGAAGTCTGACCTGCTCCTCAAACTCTAATGCCTTCCGAATGGTGGACCTAAATTCCCCTTCCTGGAGAGGAAGAGATTGTGTAGAGGGGACAAGGGGTGCACGCAGTTTGCATCCCTTCCCGGATTTGTGGGAAGCAATGCCAAAATAGGTATACAAAAGCATCATTCTGCCTTAATTCTTAAAAGTCCGGCGACCCTCACTCTTCTGTAGGGGAAACTGAGTCAGGAAGAATCATCCAGTTCGTACTTGTTCACTCACTCCAACCAGTGAACTATGAAGCCTGAGACCAAAGACACCTGAGCTCACTGCTATCCCCCTGGCTCCAGCCTAATCCATTCCTTCTTTCTGGGCCTCAGTTTCCCTGTTCCTAGTGGGCAGCCTACCGCCCCCCACTCGCGCGTGCGCAGCTCGACCTCGAGACTCCCGCGACAGTGAGGAGCTATAATTCGCTGCCGCCCACCGGCCAGCTGGCCCGGCCGGGGCGGGGAGGAAGGAGTGGAGATGGATGTTGTGCTGGGTCTCCTGTCCGCTCCTGGTGTGGGGAATGGGAGAGGGAGCTAGTGGTTAGTTAAGGCTCCCCAAATCCGGCTCTTGAATGGGTCGGTGATCATTTAGCTTAGCTGGAACCGAGCACAAACATGTTTACCGCCATGTAGACAGAGGCGCGGCTAGGGTGGCCCCGAGGGCCTCAGGGAAGAAAGGGGGAGGGGTTCTCTAGGGCCATAACTTTCCATTCTTCTCCTCCCACCTAGCTCTGCGGACTCTGGAGAGCTGGCTCTGTGCCCCCAGAAACTATCCTGTACCCCTTCTCCAGGAAGACCCCGGGAATCTGACCAGTTACCTTTGGGATCCAGGGACTCTCTATCCTTGCCCCAGTGCCTCTGCTGGATCCAGAACCCCAGCACGACCCCAGGCCAGGCCCTGGCCCTCCTTCTGTTCCACCCTTACCTAGGCCCTCAGTTTCCCCGGCTGGGAGTAGGGCAGAGCCCTGGCCAGAGGGGCGGAGGCGGCACCGCGGACCTCCCCGCGGCTCCTAGCGCGGCAGGACGCAGGGCGGCGTTTTGGGCTGGTCATTGCCCTAATAACTGGCGGCAGCCCCAGCCCCAGATGTGTACCTCCAGTCCAAACCCCAGTGCTGAAGCCTCGGTGGACTCAAGCCTGGGAGGGGCTCGAGCTAGAGCTGAAGCAGGGAAACAGGGAGCCGGGGACGTGGAGAATGTGAGTCTGCAGCTGTGGCCAAGCTATTTGCCGGGTTCGCAGGGGGCTGCGTTATCGCTTGGCCATTAGCTTAATGACTAGGAGACTGCCACAACTACAGATCCTGTCCTGTATTCCTGACCCGACAACCCTTCCAAGGAACCGAGAAGCATCGTGGTCCCCAACCACAGCCCCTCACCGTCCCCTACCCCAAACCTAGCCCAATCCCACATCTTCTGTTCTAGTGCCCCTTTTTCAGTAGTGTCGGCCCCAGTCTCATTCTCAGCTCTTCATCCCTGGTCCCCACACCAGCCCATAGGTTGCTCCGCACCCACAGACCCGCAGCCCCAGCGGACCTAGCCCTGGCAGGGGCCCGGATCGGGTCTGGGAAACCAATAGCCTAGACTGAAGCTCTGGGAATGCGGGGCAGTGGATGCGGGACCAGGATGTGGGAGAAATGAAGAGGACTACGAGGATGGAGATCAGGGAATGCGGGGTTGGATCGGGGCCGGGGAATGCGGAGCCAGTGCTCTGGTGATGCTGGGCCAGTGTACCTGAAGCCTCCGGCGCCGGATGATGCCGGAATCGTCCATGGCGGCGGCGGCAGCAGTAGCAACGGCGGCGGCGGCGGCGGGAGAGGGAGCGGCTGCTCTCCGGCCCCCTGTGAGGGAGGGGGGGGAGGAGCCGCGGCGGCAAGAGAAGGTGGGGGGCGGGGGCGGAGCCATGAGGGGCGGCCTGAACAGCCACTGCGTCTAGGAGCTGTAGCCGCAGCCACGGCCACCACAACCTAGAGAGACACGCTCCCCTCACAAAGGCATGATCTCCTAGCCACAGAAAAAGAAACCCCCTGACAAAGGTCTGAGGACGTCTTCACAGAGACTTCTCCCATGGAGAAACCCTCTCTCTCCCCCTACGGTGGCATCACCCCCTACCACCAGCAAAAGAAAAAAAGAATACCCTCTTTCAAAAACAGGGACTCCCTTACCCTTAGGGACACCCACCCCCACCCTCTACCCAGGGAATTAGCGTGAGTTGGGCGTAGCCAAGGCCAGGACCAGCACAGAGCAGGATTTATAGGTCATAAGAGGATCCAGCTGGGAGATGGAGGTGAGAGTAAATAGCCTCCGAAATACAGAGAGAGAGAGAGAGAGAGAGGAGAGAGAGAGAGAGAGAGAGAGAGAGAGAGAGAGAGAGAGAGAGAGAGAGAGAAGCCCATCCCCAAGAATTAGTCCATCCATCCCCTTTTCCGTAGTACTCCTGTTGTTTCTCCTGGTGCATATCAGAGGGTCTTTTTCCCTGTGCTCTTTCCCCACATACTTGGGAAGTCCTTTCCACAGCCCGGACACCTTTGGGCAGGTCTTGGTTCAGAAGTGAAGGCGGGCAAAGGCCCAAGTCCTTCTTCCCCGGGTGGACAGGATGGCTTCACCTTCTTCCTCCCTCTCCTCTTTCCTCTTCCCTCCCCACTGGATTTCCCTTACTTCCATTTTTAGGTGCCCAGCTTTTTGTTCTCAGCTAATGGAGTCTCAGGACCAGAGCCAACAAGATGAACTAGTGTGAAGACTGGACTCTCTGGGCCCCTGCAGAGTGGACCGAGAAAGAAGCTGAGCTGGCCTCAGGAACTGTCTTCTATTCGATTAACACAAGGACAGGTCCCCCGGGGGAAGTGAGTGACACTCCTGACCCTAGAAGCTGAAACTGTCAGAGACTGGGGTCACCTTGTACACCAACGCCACCTGCCGACCAGTCCTGAGGCTACCGCGGGGGTCTGGAAGGGACTGAGGGAAGTGCCCCTATCTCGGTCTCTTCCGTCCTTCTGTCTGTCTCTCTGAGTGTCTCTCCTTAGTCCTCTGAATCTTTTAGTACCAACAAGTAGGTGCCTCATTATCTCACTCTGTGTTTCCCTCTGCATCTTTCCCTCTGCCTGACTCTCCTACTGTGTCTGTGCCACCGCCTTTGCCTCACTCTTCCTTCCTTTGGTGTTTCTCTGTGTGTTTATCTCTCTCGCCCTGTATCTTTGTTTCTGTCGGTCTAGCTCTCTCCTAGGTCTCCTTGTCGCTCTCCGCGGTGCTGATCTCGCCCAGTTCCATTCTCCCCAGAACTAGGAAATCAGATTTCCCAGCTAAAGTTGGGTGTGGAGCTGGTATGAAACAGCGATTCTGCTGCCAGAGCCCGAGAGAGTCTAGGCACCTGGGTCCTCCTCCTTCTGGTTTGATGAAGGGGGCAGAGGGTGTCTCTTGGACACCCTATTTAGAGCAGTTATTCTTCTGCTACCTCATACCTCACTCATCTGAGAACTCTCAAATGCTCTCTGCTCCTGCCTCCAGCTCCTCCCTCACTTACCAGCTTGGGGATAACAGAATAGTCTGACAGGAGAATGTATAAAAGCGCAGACTCCTGCCTCCATGATGCTCCCTGTAGCCCCCAACATGCAGAACACATAAGAAACTGTCACAAATATCTATTACACAGATATACACTCAGTTACACCCCCTCCACGATACACTATAGTAAGCTGTTTCAGAACTGACATCCACGTACAGCAACTTAGGAGACACTTTTCCCATTTCGCTCCCCCGTCTTCACTAATGATGACAAAGACTCAGGTCTGGCCCACAGCCTGTCCCCTACAGAGAGAGAGAGAGAGAGAGAGAGAGAGAGAGAGAGAGAGAGAGAGAGAGAGAGAGAGAGAGAGAGACATTTTGAAATTCAGCTACTGTTCACTTTGTTCACTTCTCCAAAACACTCTTAACAATCCTAGTAAACCGGCCTCTTGGGCTTTGGGGGCGGTCCCTTGTCGGGTGACCCGCCCTAACCTCTTTCATCTCCCTGACCTCCCAGCCCCATCCCTCCCGGTCCCTCCTTCTCCCTGATCAGCTCCTCCCTCCCTTCCCGGGTCCCGTAGCCCTCACTAAGTCGACTGTAGGAAAAGCAGGGAGCAGCGAACCTTGGACAGTGCTACCCGGAGAAGTTGGAGCCAGGTAAAATCCCACCCGTCCAGGGCCTCGGGGGCTGGAGGAATCAGGAAATGTCCCGCCCTTCCTTCATGCCTTCTTTGGCATCGAAACTTTCAGGAGGCTCGGGATTCCTTTGGAGGAGCAAATAGTGGAGTGGGGTTCCCCTGGAGTTCACTAACCCAGACTCTGCATTTTGAGCCCTAAATGAGCCAGGCAACTAATTATACGCAGAGATGGGGCTCTTTGTCCACATGTGGACAGGACAGTGCAAAGGGCCGAGGGTGAGCAGCCACAGCTAAGCCGATTTGGCTCAGCAGAATGAGGGAGGGATGGGGGGGGGGTTGTGGTAACTATGGCCCTAGCCCTTGTCAAGGTCATCAGTGCTTAGGCCAAAACAGACACCTAAAATGAAGGTGCAGAACTGAGACATCTGGGAGTCAGCAAGCTGGGGTCCTGTTGGTAGTATGGGATTGGAAGGAAGTACCCCAGGGTCCTTGGTGAAAGGGATTGAGAGTTGAAAATCGAGGACCCCAAGAATGAGTTGGCCGCTTTTCCCAGGATGAGCTGTGTGCCCAGCCAAGACCTTGTCTGATAGTGGGGACCCCCCCCATCAGGCACAGCTCTGGGGAGAGGGGTGGTAGGGAGGGATTGGAACAGACCAGACAAAACAATAAGCCTGTTATCTCCAAAGGCACTATGAAGGAGGACTCCATGCAGGGACTCACCTCAGTTTCTGATCCTCAGGTGGACATGAAAGGTAGTGTGGCTTGGGTCCTAGGCCTAGCCTGGGCCATGAGTCTGCCAGGGACCCAAGGGGTCTTAGGGCTGGCTGAAAATGATGGTGGTGCTGGTAACCCCAAATGCCTGGGTTTGGGGCAAGCCAATAAGGAGCCCAAGTTCAATGGAGCACCAGGTTGGTGCAGACTCCATTCTACTGGTAAGTGATAACCCTCCCCTTTCCAATATTCCTAGGCTAGACAGATGGTTCCCCCCTCTCTCCAGACTTCCCACTTCCCTGAATTCATTCAGGAAACACACACACACACACACACACACACACACACACACACACACACACACTCTTCACCCTTAGGCTGATTCAGGTCACCACAACCTTGTTTCCTAATCAGGGAGGCCCCATCTGCACCCAGAGTCCCTCTCATACGATCCCGAGCTGAAGAATTTCAGGGGAGGGCAGACACTTCTGATGCCCTCCATCACAAATGCCAAGCCCCTCTTCCAGGGCAACTTAACCTTTTCTCTTACTTCTACCTCAGGCTCCCCCATAATGGCAGGCATCTGCCTGATTTGGGATCGATGTGGGGGCCTGAGCCCCAGGTGAGTGCAGTCCTATTCCCTCCACTGCTGGACCACCCTGGAATAGATTGGTAATTAATACACTAGAAGATTTGCATGTTGGATTTTTTTTTATGTGATTTGAAGACATTCTAGGACCCAGCCATAGAGACTCCCCATATCACTTAAAGTCTAACCTAGAAAAAAATGTCTAGACTTTGCTTACTTCTCCCTCTGTAAACCCTACACCTCCTGCTTCCCTAGCCCAGCATGTGTCTGGGGAGTTGGTTTTCTTTTTCTTTCTTTCCTTGAGGCAATTGGGGTTAAGTGATTTGCTCAGGGTCACACAGCTAGTAAGTGTCAGAGATCAGATTTCAACTAAGGTTCTCCTGACTTCAGGGCAGGTGCTTTCTCCACTTCACCACCTAGCTGCCCCACTTGGGGTCAGTTTTCTGAGGCTTCACATTCTACGATCTCTCTTGGGCTCCTCCAGGTGTGAATCCTTCCTACGAAATCTCTCCTATTTCCTCCACTGCTCACCACTGGCAGGCAACTGGACCCATCTGGAGGGGTATGGGAGTATCCAGGCCCTGCCAATCTGTGCTGCCTTCTGTGACCAGTGGTAAGACAGGGATAAGCTCAAGGGTATGGGTAAGGACTGAAGAGGACTTACCTTAGTGGAGAAGTGGATCCTAGTGCAGTTAGGAGTCTGGGGCAGTTCTAGGGGAGGGACCTGACATGGGGAGAGGTACAGTAATGAGTCAGTACTAAGGGTTAGTAAGGAAGGTAGATATTTCAATTAAGGTGCATTGAAGCCTGCATCTTCAAGTCCTTTCCTGACCAGGATGCTGCTATTACTGGTCTAGCTTCGGTAGAGGGTGGAGGAAGCTCAAACCCCAGTAAGTCATTCCACATGGGGTCATGGTGATTAAATTTCAGAGGCAGGAAGGATTGGGGCACCTTTGTGGTGAGGTATAGAGACCTACCTGGCAGTATTGGAGAGATTGGTCTAAGGAGGCTGTGGGAAACAAAGTTGGTTGAGTTGGGACCACAAGGCAGAGGATTCTGAAAGCCTAGTTTAACTTGCAGCCATGGAGTATTTTTGACTAAAAATGTGTGTGGTCAGAGCTTGACTGCAGGAAGGTAACTATAACTGCTTAGTACAGGGTTCAGAAAGACAGAGAAAAATGGATGCTAGGGAGAGGTTAGCTGTCCAGGCAAGAGGAGGGAACAAGAGTCCAGGGTTGGGGAGTCAAGACTCTGGTGCTCCACTCCTGGCTGTTTAGTTTTGACAGCTCAGATGAGGCCTTTCTGGTCTGGGGTGTGGAGATAAAGGTTGGAGACTAGACAACCTAAGTCCCTTGCATTTCTGAAACCATGATTCCCTAGTTCTTTCACTCCCTACTCAGGTTTTCAGCCTGCAGAGATGATCTGACCTGTGGTCGGAATTGGCTCTCCCAACCAGGAGGGAGCTGTGAGGGTGGCTGTCTCACCTTTGACCAGGTGAGAATCCACCAGAAGTCCAGTCCCAAGTGGCCACAGGTGCTGCCAGGTCATGTCCCTCCATACTCTTCCATGGTCTTGGCTCAGCCCCTCCCTCATGTTCACACCTATCCTTCCTCCAACTATTGGCTAGGTCCTTTCTTGCTCGCTTTGGCTTTGGCTTTTGTCCCTTCATAGAGACAGTAAAGATGAACCTCACCTCTTCTCTTGCCCCCATTCCATATCTGGCACTCACTCTGAGTGGGGCCTTTGCTCTCTGGCTGTCCGAGAACCTACTTCCATCAATAGGTATTGCTCAGCCTCTCTTCTCCCCTTAGTCTCACCCTCCTATCTCGTACTCCCACTTAATGTGGATCTAGTTGTCCCCACCCCCCCATCCACTGTTGATTCTGTTCTAACCTGGGCTGATCCTGCAGACCTTCCTGGACGCCAAAGACCTGTGCGGTTCTGCGCTGGGACACTACCTGGTTGCTGCGCCTGCTCCCTGTCCCTGCCTTCAGCTCTCCATCTCTGACCCGCAGCCGCCTGACCCAGAGACCCTATTAGGCATCGCCTGCCCAGCCTGGCCACTGCCCCGACCTCGAGGGCGCCAGAGCAATCGGCTCAAACGCGCGCTGCTCCTCCCGCCTGGGGGAGTCGGCAGTGGCAGCGGCAGTGGCAGCGGCAGCGGCAGCGGCCCCTAGAGGGTGCACTCTGTCCGGTGCGGGGAGCGGGGAGAGGAAGGAAGGGAGATTTAGGGTTGAGAGCTAGAAGCCTTGACAGCCACCCGGATGGAATCAATGAGAAGTCCCCTCTCATCAGCCCTCCTCCCCCCCAACCCCAGCTACTGGCTTTGCGACGCTGCACAGCCAGATTTTGTTTTCAGACCCCGGAGTTAAGCACTCACTCCTCAAATAAAATACCCAGCTACAGAGCCCAAGACTCAGTTGTTTCTTGGGGGTGGCGGTGCTTAGCAGGCTTTATAGTCTAGGGGCCTCCCCAGACTCCACAGGTTGCAATCTGAGGGATAGGGGATGGGGCATGGGACTCCCCCTACTCCTACATTGCCCCAGTCTTTAGGTACCCATACATCAGCCCCAGCGGGTGGAAAGATTCACACAATATATGTTATAGGGGCAACACATCTCCATCCCAGGTTTAGGCCCGCCCCCCCCCTTCACTATGACAGTGGAAAGAATACTTGATCTGGAGTCAGAGGACGTAGGTTAGAATCCAAACTCTGGTTGTTGCTACCTATGTAACACTAGGGAAGTCATTTAGAATCCCTGTGTCTATTTTCTCATTTGTAATAGGAAGAGGTTGGACCATGCTCTCAGAGGCTTGACTTGTGCCATAGCCTTCCCCTGCTTTGATTTAGGTTATTCTCCACCCCATTCCCATCCTGCACTCCCACTTCATCTAATAACCACCCTTCAACCACATGTCATTCTCCAAAGCTCTCAGTCTTTTCCCTGAAACTAATGGTTCCTGGCTCTGGACTCATTCAGGACCAAGTCCTGGGAGTCTGGCCTCTCAAAGAGAGGTCACTTTTTCTTATTTGTCTCTGGGTTATTCACCATGCCCCCATTCCAGAATAGGTGTATGGGGTGTTCAAGGAGGATTAGCACCTCTGGAGTGAAAGCTTGCGGAGCCCTTTTCAGGGATGCACATTTACCTTTGGTATCCACCTGTCATTCAACTCTTGCCTGTGGCTCCAAGAATCTGTAGCGTGCAGAGCAACCACACCCCATAAAACCATTTCTGCAGATGGGCTAAACCAGGTTAAGGATAACTGACAGGCCTCAAACCTGTCAGTGAGTTAGAGGGATATCTATTGCAAACATGTGAAGGCTTCCCTTGGCAGAATGGGTAGATGAGAACAATTTGTTCCAATGGCCATGAAGGCGGCTGAAGCAGATGCTATGGAGTGTTCAGAGTTTGGTCAGACATTGAAAACACCAAGGGCACCCACTGCGTCCTGAGCCATTGCCAGTCATCTTGACTTTGGACTTGCCATGGGATTTGGATGACTCTGGACTAGAGCGTGAGGCTGACAACTTTGCCCAACTCTGCCCCAGAACACAATTTTGGGGGTTTGTCTCATGTCTAGGCTTCTCCAAAAGTGAGTGACTGTATCCCATCTAGAAAGGTATTCAATAGAGTATAGGAAAAATTTGTTCCCTCCACTACAAAAGAAATGTTAAATACACACACACACACACACACACACACAAGACTTATGAGTCCATATTAACAACTACTTCAACCATGAAACAGTAACTCCTGACTCCTATACTCCCTACAGGTTGATGCTTAAAACACTGTAGGATTTTGTACTGTCCAAACAGCACATTCCAGGTCCAGATCTTCTGGTAAGTCATGGCAAACTTGTTAGGTTTGTCCTCCTGACCAAGTGATCATCTGCTTCTTTGAGGAGATTAGAAATCATCTCTTGCTGCTAGACACCCAGACTTCAATGACTCTAGACATCATAAGTCCCCTATATAGATTGCCAAGGTTTGGAATGTCCATCTCAGGATCACTGTTTGATCATTTGTGCTCAGAGAAGGAAACATGAAGCAGAATATGCTACTAGAGTTTTGAGAAGCACTCAAACTTAACTAGAAGAAGCACATGCTCAGTTTTAAAATTTAAGATTATAAAATTCTAAACTTAAATATGAAAGAGGAGGGTATTTATAAATATTCAGTAGAATATAAAAATAGGATTCTATATAAAACTGAATCTCCATTTCATGCCACATGCTTTTATTCTTTTGTATTTTAAAAATACATTTTTATTGGAGTCCTACCAAATTATTTTTATGACACAAATATGGTGCTGATACATAAACCAGGAAGAGCCAAAACAGAGAAAGAAAATTATAAGCCAACTTTCTTAATTAATATAGATGCAGCAAAATTAAATAAAGTATTAGCAAAGAAATTACAGGAATTTATCACCAGGACAATACACTATGATCAGATGAGGTTTATACCAGAAATGCAGGGCTGGTTCAATATTAAGAAAATTTTCAGCATAATTGACCATATCAATAACAAAACTAACAGAAATCATACGGATATTTCAACAGATGCAGAAAAAGCTTTTGACGAAATACAGCATCCATTCCCATTAAATACCACTAGAGAGCATATGAATAAATTAAATTTTCCTGTAAACAACAAGTAGTATCTATCTAAAACCATCAGCAAGCATTATGTGTAATGGGAATAAGCTAGAAGCCTTCCAAATAAGAACAGGCCTGAAGCAAGGATGCCCATTATCATCACTATTATTCAATATTGTATTAGAAATGTTAGCTTTAGCAATCAGAGAAGAAAAAGAAATTGAAGGAGTTAGAATAGGCAATGAGAAAACAAAACTACCATTCTTTGCAGATGAAATGTTGATATACTTAGAGAATCAGCTAAAAAAACTACTTGAAATAATTAACAACTTTAGCTAAGTTGCAGGATATTAAATAAGTCCTCATAAATCATCAGCATTTCTGTATAATATTAACAAAGCCCAGCAGCAAGAGATAGAAAGAGAAATTCTATTTAAAGTAACTGTAGACAATATAAAATATTTGGGAGTCTACCTGCCAAGACAAACTCAAGAACTAAATGAAAACAATTACAAAACACTTTTCACACAAATAAAGTCAAATCTAAACAATTGGAAAAATACCAATTGCTCATGAGTAGGCAGAACTAATACAATAAAAATGGCAATTCTACCTAAATTAATTTACTTAATCAGTACCATAACAATCAAACTACCAAAAATTATTTTATAGAGCTAGAAAAAAATATAACAAAATGCATCTGAAAGAACAAAAGATCAAGAATATCAAGGGAATTAATGGGGAAAAAAGTGCAAAGGAAGGTGGCCTAGCTGTACCATATCCAAAACTATATTATAAAGTGGCAAGCATCAAAACTATTTGGTACTGGCTAAGAAACAGTAGTGGATCAGTGGAATAGGTTATATAGAGAACTACATCAAATTTATAAGAATACAAGTCATTCCCCAATTGATAAATGGTCAAAGGATATGAATAGGCAGTTTTCAGATGAAGAAATTAAAACTATCTTTAGTCATATGAAAGAATATTCTAAATCACTGTTGATTACAGAAATGAAAATTAAAACAACTCCGAGGTATCACATTCCACCTACCAGATTGGCTAACATGACAAAACATGAAAATGATAAATGTTGAAGATGTGGGGAAACTGAAGCACTAATGCATTGTTGGTAGAGTCGTGAATTGATCCAGCCATTCTGGAAAACTGTGCAAACCCTTTGATCCAGCAGTAGCACTACTAGGTCATATCCCAAAGAGATCAAAGGAAAGGGAAAAGGACCCATTTGTACAAAAATATTTATAGCAGCTCTTTTTGTGGTGTCAAGGAATTGGAAATTAAGGGGATACTACTCATCAATTAGGGAATGGTTGAACAAGTTGTGGTATATGAATGTAATAGAATACTATTGTGCTGTGAGTAATGATGAGCAGGATGTTTTCAGAAAAACCTGGAAAGACTGACATGAACTAATGCTGAGTGAAGTGGGCAGAACCAGGAGAGCACTGTACATGGTAATAGCCATGTTGTGTGATGACTAATATTGATAGACTTAGCCCTTCTCAGCAATACAAGGATCTAAGACATCTCCAAAGGCTTCATGATGGAAAATGCTATCCACATCCAAAGAAAGAACCATGGAGTTTGAATGCAGATCAAAGCATACTATTTGCTGTTTTTTCCTTCTGTTGTGTTTTGTTTCCTCTTTCTGGTGGCTTCTCCTATTGGTTCTAATTCTTACTTACAACATCGCTAATGTGAAAATATGTTTAATAGGAATGTATATGTATAGCCTCTATCAGATGGTGCGCCATCTCAGGGAGGGTGGTGGGGAGAAAGGGGGAGAAAAACTTAAAACTCAAAAGCTTATGGAGGTGATTGTTGATAAATCAAAATAAATTAATAATGAAAAATTTTTTAAAAAAATACTATCCACATCCAGAGAAAGAACTATGGAGTCTGAATGCAGATCAAAGTATACTATTCTCACTTTTTTTTCCTTAAGCTTTTTCCCTTTTGTTCTAATTCTTCTTTCACAACATGGCTAATATGGAAACATATTTCATATGATTGTATATGTACAACCTACAACAGATTGCTTGCTGTCTTGGGGAGGTGGGAAGGAAGGGAGGGAGAAAAAAAATTGGAACTCAAAATCTTATAAAAGTGAATGTTGAAAACTATCTTTACATGTAATTGGAAAAAATAAAATACTATTAAGTGGAAAAGTAAAATACTATTAAATAGAAAAAATAAAAATAGATTTTATTTTAAATATATTATCTATTTCATTAAATATTTCCCAATAACATTATTTTTCTAATTACATGTCAAAAATTTTAAACACCCATCTAAAAAATTTTTAATTTCAAATTCTCTCTCTTTTCTTCCTCCCTTATTGAGAAGGCAAGCAATTTGATAGAAGTTATACATGTGCAATCTCCACCAGTTTTTTTCCCTTTGGAAATGAATAGTGTTTTTCATCATAAGATCTTTGGGATTGTCTTAGATCCTTACATTGCTGAGAATAGATAAGTCATTTACAGTTGATTATTGCTGTTAGTGGGTACAATGTTCTCCTGGTTCTGCTCACTTCACTTTGCATTAGCTCACTTAAGTCATTCTAGGTTTTTCTGAAAGCATCATTTCCTATGGCACAATAGTATTCCATCACAATCATGTGCCACAATTTGTTCAGCCATTCCGCAACTGATGTTTCGTAAGAAATGATGCTGTTACTTTTCTGATTTGGTTCTGGTTCACTCAGCATCAAATCATGTAAGTCTTTCCAGGTTTTTCTGAAATCCATCTGCTCGTCATTTCTTATAGCA